AAGCTCTTAAGCAAGGTGTCTGGGGTGGCAGGAGGGTGGGTGTGGAGAGGCAGCGCAGAAGAGGGGAGTTGGCTGGCGCGCCAGTGAGAAGGCAGACCAAGGGCTGAGAGATCACAGCTTCCCCTGCCAGCCCCGGGCGCCCCATGTCTGCCCCGCCAAACTTCTCCCCTGGCCCTGGGAATGCCAGGGGCCCTCGCCTCTTATCTTCACTGTGCTGTTTCTTCTACTGGAGGCACTCTTTCCTCTTCTCTGCACTTTTCTCATTCCTACCCCTTTAAGACCAAGTACCAATTTCCTGCTAGGCCTTCCTACCTACCCTTTCCCTATCCCAGGGGTCAGGGGCTCTTTCTAGCCCACCGGTCTGTGCTCACGTTCCCATGCAGCATTTTTTTTTAAGATTTTTATTGGGGAATTGGGGGTATGGGAACAGTGCTGGGGAATTGGGGGAAGGGGAACAGACAAGTTTCTGTCGTTTTGTCCTTCAGTCTAGTTGTGGAGGATGTTGCTTCACTGGCCCAAGTTGGCACCATCATTGCGCTCTTCCCAGGCGAGGCACATCAGTCGCCGGCTTCTGGACGGCAGCTCACCCGGTGCAGCATTTGACAGGCTATGTGTGTCTATGTATCTCCCCCTTTGACAGCTTCACTCACCCATGTATTAAGTCATTCATGCTTCATTTGTTGAGGGCCTACTGTGTGCCAGGAGGTGATCTGGCAGTGAGGGAGAGAGACCCGGCTCCTCAGGGCTGCCAGGTAGGTCACATTCCCGAGGCAGAAGAAGACTGAAGGAGGAGTTACAAGACGGTGAATGTTTGGAAAAGGAAAGTCTATAAGAAGGAGGCGTACTTTAGTCTGGGGTTGGGGATGAGACAGCCAGGGAAGGTTTTCCAAAAGATGGAACATTTAAGCGGAGACTTGAAGAATGAGAAAGCCATGGCCAGAGAGAGAGAGGTAAGGGTGTGTGTGTGTATGTATGTATGTGTATGAGTGAGTGAGTGTGTGTGTGTGTGTGTGTGTGTGTGTGCGCGCACGCGCGGGGGCAGCGCAGAGTCCCAGTTCAGGCTGAGCATGTGCACGTGTAAAAACCCCACAGAGAAAGGGGCATTGTGCCCGTGGAGGAACCCACGCGGAGCCACACAGCCAGTGGAAGGAAATAGGCTGGACAGTCGGGTAGGGAAGGTCGTGGAACACCAGGAAGCATGTTCAGTGCCAGCTCCAGAAAGGGAGGGTCTGTGACTTATTTGTTTTTGTGTTCCTGGGGACCCGCAGAGTAACAGGTGCTCAAGAAGGGTTTATTGAACAAATAAAGAAATGAAAACACATTAACTAGACACACAGGATTTAAACAGGACACGGGAATATGAAAACTGAAACAAAACTGCCTCTTAAGGCCAGCCGTGCCACCACGAGGGGCATTTCAACGTCTGCTGGGAGCCCAGGAATCACCAGCCCATCTGGCTGGCACAGGTACAGCTTGGTACTGAGCACATATGGCATGATTTGAGTTGGTCAGATTGAGCAAGACAAGTGTGCCATTTACCCAAAGTAGGCCTATCTGAAGCCAGTAGGGGGGACTCTAAGTGACACCTGCCAGGCTGAGACTTTACACTACAAGAGAGTCTGGCAGACAGAGACCCAGCCAGGGGCTGTCTTGATGCCACTCATCAGAGAGGGGCTCTCTCTGCTACTCCCACAGTCCCGTGGATTTTGGAGAATCAAAGCATTTTAGAGCTAGGGAGGCCCCTGGGGATCATCTGGCCAGCCCTAATTTTATAGATGAAGACACTGAAGCCAGAGGTTGTGTGACTTACCTTAAGCAAGGGGCAGGACCAGGCTAGGTCTTAGGTCTCCTGATTCTACATCCAGTCCTCTTATAAATACATCTAAGAGGAAGAAAGCAGGAAGGGAGAAGAAAGAAAGAGAGAAGAAAGGGGGGGAAGGGAAGAAACTACACTGAGGCCATCTCATGAGAACTAAAACAATGGGCAGAACTCCACAGCCAAAGGCAATAAGCATATAAGGGTCCTTGTGAAATACTCCTAACCTGAGTTAAGGCAACATGCTGATGGGCAATGAGTGAGAACGCAATGGTCATCTTTCTCAGCTGAGGGCTCAGCCTCTGGGAGGAGAGCTTCCACCCCTTAGATCCAGGATGTCATTGGCTGCCTTTGAGATCACACATTTTCCTACTTAAGGCTGTTCCACTCTTACCCAGTAATTAGGAGCTGGGATCCGGAACAAAATAGCTGAAGTCTGTCTGAGTCCTTGCTCTTGCAGTATCTGCCAGTATTTCTTCTCACCTTCTTTCTAGGAAGAGAACTCCTGATTTTTAGCTGGCCCATGGCTGCCTGGAATAAAGATTACATTTCCCAGCTCCTCGTGGCTAAGAGCTGCTCCTGTGACTAAATTCGGATCAATGGAACGTAAGGAGAGGGATCAGGTGCAGCCTCAGGAAGTCAACCAAAAGCAGTGGTTCTCTATCTGTGGAGTTTACGCCTCCCCAGGGGACATCTGGGAACATTCAGGGGGATTTTTGTTTGTCATACCTGGGAAGGAGGAAGTTTTACTGGCACTTAGTGGGTAGAGGCCAAGGTTACTGCCAAACATCCTACAATGCACAGGACAGCCCCTACAACATGAATTATCTGACCCCAAATGCCAACAATACCAAGACTGAGAAACCCTGCCGTAAAGGGAGGGGTCATGTTCATCTTGCTCCTTCCTCTAGAGCAGCGGTTCTCAACCTTCCTAATGCCGCGACCCCTTAATACAGTTCCTCATGTTGTGGTGACCCCCAACCATCAAATTATTTTCGTTGCTCCTCTATAACTGTAATTTTGCTACTGTTATGAATCGTAATGTAAATATCTTTTTGTTTTCCGATGGTCTTGGGTAACCCCTGTGAAAGGGTCGTTCAACCCCCAAAGGGGTCGCGACCCACAGGTTGAGAACCACTGCTCTAGAGTGTGGACGTGAAGGCTGGAGTCTGAACTGCCACCTGTAACCATGAGGTGCAAGACACATGTTGAGGAAGGTGAAGCAGGACAGGAGTCTGGACCCCTGATGATCCTGAGCTGCCCTATCAGCTGTGGGCGACTCACTTCCTGACTTTTGTTTTGTTTTGTTTTGACCTAAAGCAGAATAAAGTTCTAGCTTATTTAAGCCTCTGTTGCTTTGGAATCTTCTGTCATAATAGCCAAACCTAACTGCTGCAGCTTCCTCCCTCTCGCTCCTTCTCCATTCCCTTCAGCTTCATTGAGCCTCTGCCCACCCACCTCTCGCTCCTGGTCTCTCCTCCCTTTGTGCCCCTTTGTTGCTCTCAGGCCCCACCTCTGGATATACTCAAGAGCTACATTCATCCATTCTGTTTTATCTGCTTTGAATCCTGATACCCACTCCAAGATCCATCTTGTTGCATCTCTGAGGCTACCAGGTCCCGCTCCTTCCAGATTCCCCGCCAATCAGGCTCTAACCAGTCCTAAGAATAAGCCATATCAATTGGGTTCAAAGCATTTCTTTGTGGCCCAGTTTGCAATGTGGAGCCACGTTCTCCCAGACTAGGTGCCATCTCTAATGACCGGTATAGGTACAGTGTGTGTGCTAGCCCAGCAGAGTAGAGACTTGGCCAATGGGAATGGAGCCTGGTCCTTACTCCATTACAAGCCCTACCAGCTGGGTATCAGCCCTGGTCATATTGCAGCTGAAGTGTTCATCCATCCATCCATGTATCCATGCATTCATTCAACACATGCATGAGTCATGTTCAAGGCTCTAGCATGGAGGCTGCTATGACAATACCCTGGAGGTCTTTCCATTTATCATTATGGTTTACCACAGGCTTGAAAATGACAAACCTTTGGCTACCAAGTAGGATTTCCCAGAGAAACAGAGGGGAAGGGCTGGCTCCTCTCTTTATCTTTCTATGCCTCCCCATTGCTACTTTTAGAGAATTTGATTTTAACTAGACCTTTCCATTCTGGGATTTTAGTCTGTTACTGGAGAGCTAAGAAAAAAGTCATAGTGACCCAACCACTATACAAAATGATTTCACAGTTATACAATCACACTGTCAGGGGTCCAAAAGTAAATCATTTGTTTTCAAGGGCAGATATTCCAGAACAAGGAAGGGAATTTTAGCCAGCATATTTACTACTGCTTGAGACTGTCTATCTGACATCTTGATGACTGCATAGGATGGATCATTTCAAGGGAAAAAGTGGGCAAGGACAAAAGAATAGTAAACAAGAAGCATCCCAATCAGCCTCCATGTCCTTCAGATGACCTGCGATACATTCTGAGTCTAGTCCCAATTTCTGAGTCATGACTGCAAGCCTAATGTGAGGATGGATGCTTCCAACTCGGCCAAAGTAATTTACTGTGAGAAGAACAAAGTTGAATCATTTCAACTGTTTTCAGAGTACTTGTTGATTGGAGGGGAGTGGGGAGAGGATGTCTGCCATGGTAAGAGGGGACAGAAACTAATGCTATAGATTCCGTGGCAGCCAACCTCCAAATGGACCTCAACATTCTCACCTCCTGGTGTTCATACCCTTGTAGTCACACATTGGGATTACACTGTATTAGAGTTGGGTTGTGTGATCCATAGAATACGGTAGTAGTGATGGTGTGGGATTTCTGAGGCTAGGTCATAAAAGACATGTGGCTTCTGCTTTGCTCTCTCTTTCTTAGATTCTCTCTTAGATCATTCACTCTGGGGGATGCAGCCCTGTGGAGAGATCTGAGGCAAGGAACTGAAACTTCCTGCCGAAAGCCATGTNCAGGCTCTCTGCCTTTCTGCATTCTCTGCCTGCCCCTTCCTATGGGGATTCAAGATGCCCCTTTACCCTGAGCTCAGCTTCCCTTCATCACCAGGCCCAAAGCTTTGGAGTCAGCACTCACTGGATGAGGATTTCCAACAGCCCCCCAGGCCACAGAGAGCAGAGGGCAAAGCGTCATTTAAAGTATATGCAAGGGGCGACCAGTTAGCTCAGGTGGTTAGAACGCAGTGCATATAACACCAAAGGTGCTGGTTCGATCCCCACTGGGCTACTGAGCTGCGCCCTCCACAACTAGATTGAAACAACTACTTGACTTAGAGCTGATGGGTCCTGGAAAAACACACTGCTCCCCAGTAAAAAAAAGTGGGGGGCATGCAACACGAGGGAGACTTGTTCTGCTCTTTCTTTGCTTCATTTCTGTTCTAGGCTATTCAGCGAATCTGGCCCCTCTAAATCTATGCCTACTTCAGGATCCAGCCAGAGCCCACGCCTGCCCTCATCTGCCCGAATGCCACCCTTCCTCTACTCCCCCAACCATAGTTCCAGCCCAGTGGAACCATTTTTGGGTTTTTGGCTGGATATATCTTTCAAAGCTTCAAAAAGAGTGAGAAGAAAACTCTCCAACTCTGGACACAGAGGAGCTCAGTAAATATGAATTGAATTTGGTGATGAATGCAAGGAAGGAGGGGAGACAGGGAGGAAGGCTGCTGCTCTCTGGAGTGGACGGCTACCAGGCCCAGAGCTTCTGAAAGCTCTTAAGCAAGGTGTCTGGGGTGGCAGGAGGGTGGGTGTGGAGAGGCAGCGCAGAAGAGGGGAGTTGGCTGGCGCGCCAGTGAGAAGGCAG